AAGAAAAGGGAGCAGATAACCTGGCTTAGCCAGATCTGACAAGTGTAATCATATGGGTTATCAGCATGCTTGTTGAGGACGCGGCTGTTTGGAAGGGTTGTCATTGAATAGTGTGGGGTGATTGAATGTTGACGAGGCAGTTTATGCTTGTGCTAACGTCGGAATGGTTTCAAATTTCAAAATGATTTGTTTTGTGCATTGTTGGTTTTGCTGTAGCTAACATGTGCTGTTCTGCTGTATGACGCTCTTCTCAGCTGGCATGTTCGGAAGAGAATGTCGGTCAATATGTGCTGTACCACTCAAACTCAGGTTCCTGTGAAGGCCATATGCACTCAGTGAATTGGAGAAAGGGAGGCCCGAAAGACCTGAATTTGCTATACGAATTGTGCTGGGATATGGATGGTGCAGGGATCCCTCTAATCAAAATCACCTCAAGAGTACTTCGTTCGTGTACCCACTCCTCATTAAATCTGGCTTCAATCCATCTAATCAAAATCACCTCAAGAGTACTTTGTTGGTGTACCCACTCATTAAATCTCATTTTTTCTAGATAGATGTGGCCCCTTCTGTCCACAGCATGGGCCAGGTCAATGTCAGGAAGAAACCCAAAACGCTCGTGAAATAGAATCACCTGTGTTTGGAGAGTTAGGCCACTGGAGGTGAAAGGTGGACTGTGACCAGTATATATGCATTCTACGTGAAGTCCGTTTGGTTCTAATCCTAAAGCTAGTAGCTAATGAGATAGTCAAGAAAATGAAGAGTCTTCAGGAGATAGCATAAACTATTCATTCATATAAAAGGACACCGTCTATGTTGGCTCTCCTATTCTACAAATGTCCTTGGTGATCGCTTATCATTGTTATCATGATTATGTTTGTATGTTTCCGATGGCGTATCTCTGCTACAGGTCATCCGACTTTTCACTCGGCAACTCTTGCAAGGATTGGAGTACCTGCACAACCATCACATCATGCACAGGGATATCAAGGTTCGCCTGACTTTGCCAGCACCTGCTCTCTTTGCTGGGGCATTCGCTGTGTTCTTAAGGGCATCGACCAAGGCTTTGAGAAGTCTATGTTGGTGATGTCTCCACATCATTTGTCCACTCAGGGATGGTCATAAGACAGTGTGTTAAACCGCAAGTACACGGCCCCAGCCTTGCAGAAAGTTTTTGTCGCCACAAGCGAAACTCGAAGGGGCCGCGCGGTGTGGGGCGCCGTTGAAAAAAAAAAATTGGCGGCCTCCAAAGTGGTGCGGGTTTCATGCTGATTCCCGTGGGCTGATGTGTGGTGTACTGGTGCTTTAAGTGATAGGGGATCATCGGCAGCATTTAGAGCACTGAGAAATTGGTGCATCAAACAGGTTAGTTCATGCTGTCACAAGGGGCCCGAAAGCAGAACAAAGAACAAGGAAACTGGGGAAGGACTACCATGCCATTTATGCAGTTGGAGGTGCTGATTGAAGAACTGGGTCGTGCAGGTCAAAAAGGGGCCACTGGACCATCTTTATTCAAACCGGGCTGGCAACCTCACAGGCTTTGCTTTCTGTGAGCCAGGCCTTCGAAAGGCTTGGACTGTTAAACAAATCCGTAATGTGGAGTCTGCTTGTGGAAATCTTCAGTGGGTTAGCCTTGCAGGGTGGTGACAATTATCTGTCGTGGAGGTCTTTCTTTTGTGTGGTCATTAAACACTCTTATGTATGCAGCTTGACTTGTTTGTTGATTCAGCAGATGGAAGGTATTGTAAGCCAGAAACATTGGCATATTTTGTACCTGAGCACCCTGTTCCTTACCTATTGTGACTTGGTGTCCCCATGAATTGCGTGCAAACAGGGGGCGAACATTCTTGTGGATAACAAAGGCTGCATAAAACTTGCTGACTTCGGTGCATCAAAGAAGCTGGCTGACCTGGTAAGGCATCTTCAATTGTTGTTTTTTTTCACATACAGAGGCTGCAGATCGTATGTGTCTGAAATGCGCACATTGTCTCTTATTTGTAGATTTATTTGGATGGAGCTGTGAAATCTGCCATAACAAGGATGATAAAAGGAATGTTGATGTCCACTCCATGGACTGGTGCCAAGTCTGTCTTAAAAGGTGCACGATGTTCTTTATAAAGACCATGACCGCCCCCCCGAAAACTTGGGGCTCTGTTAGCCTTCTCTCCCGAAGTGCTCTCCATCGCGGCCAAGAGGGTATAGGACAGGGTGGTCAATGCAACACAAGTGGGCCTCTAGTCGTGACACATTCCGCTTGGTGCTTGAGGCTGGAGTGCTGTTGTGTGCATGAGTGCTTGCGCTTGACAGAGTGAGAGGGAGAGGGAAAGGTAGAGAATGGTGTTAGTTGCCACAGTTAGGATAGGCGAAGGTGCTTCTGCTTCATAGACAAAGAGGGAGAGAGGGAGCAAGGGTGAGGGATACGACGTAGAGGCAAAGACCTGTGGAGGGAGAAGGTGGTTACCTGCTAGTGATCACTGTGATGAGGTTAGAGACTTGAGCCGATTCAAGAAGACTGGCACTGTCATTTCCAGAGTTAGCGATGGTTCTGCTGGCCTTGGATAGGCAAGCACCCAAAAGATCTGGTGTGGCGGTGTAGGAGAGAGGAGAGTTTGCCAGCAGTCAGCTGATGTATCTGATGACATTCTGAGGTGGTGAGCGAAGCATTCCTGAAGTTGAAGGGGAAGAGAAACTCGAACTTTATATCTCTTGTTTACACTAGGGAATCACTCTCATACCCTTGCTCTTCTTTGCACTGATTTGTCGTTTGGCGTCATTTGCTATCTCATCCCAAGATCGTCATTCAGTTTGAGCTTTTTGGATTCATGTGTGATGATGATGATGTAAGCTTCTCAAGTTGGGTTGATTACACTGGTGTTTCCTCTGTGTCGTTCTGTTCCTATGAAGGCGACTGTTTCCGAAGGTTTTAAGTCAATGAAGGGAACACCCTATTGGATGGCTCCGGAAGTTATCAAACAGACAGGGCATGGCAGGTGAGGGGACTACGTCAAACAGTTTTGCAGACTTTGAGTTTCGATATCATACTTGTCTTTTTCTTGTTTTTTGAAATTGCACCATTTCTCAGTTTGTGTGTGTCATCGTCGTGCAGGGGCCATGCTAAGGTTCTCTGTATTGTTCCAATGTTGGCGCATGGCCCAAAGAACATACTCTTCTTTTCGGGCACCCCTAGACCTCCCAATTTCGTAGCCTTCCCTGTTTCAAGAAAAGGAATGTATCCAGTACCATGATTCTATCCCCTTTAAGGCATGCTGAGGTGCTGTGGTGAACATGGCCATGGTCACCTTGTGATAATAATGTGTAATGCAGCCTTGCACTGTTGTCACCATGTAACACAGGTGTGCTGATGGCCTAGGTCCCAATCTAAGGTGCACAGTACTGGGGAAGGAAAATCTGTCGTGGTACTAGTGCACATGAAACGGCTTCCTGCCACTTACGAGGTATGTGTGGTTGTTTTGGGAAGCGTAACTGGTGTAGGCAACCAATCATGTTTGAGATAGCAAGCAGTGCTAACTTGTTAAGCATATGTTTCTGATAAAAGTGAACCTCTTTTGGTGAAATCCTGATCGGTGTTAGACATGATTGCATCATTGCAGACAATGTGTGTTTCAGGATGCGTTGATTCACTTTGCAGGTATACGCTTCACTGAAACACGCTTTGCAGACAATGTGTGTTTCAGGATGCTTTGATTCAGTTTGCAGGTATACGCTTCACCGAACCTGATCAAGGAATGCTTCTAGGAGATGGAGGATGCCAAGTAGTTTTAGACAAGCTGTAGTGACAATCTCCTTTCACTTTCGAAGGGCCTATTTACTCGTTTGATTTGAGTAGTTATGCTTTATACTCTGTGATTGGACCAAGGGAGAATTTTGCAGACACTGCACATTCCTTCCCAGAGAGCAGAATGCGTCCTTCAGAATGTACCGGGGCGTGTTCGTGTTGTAGTACAGGTCATGCACCTGGCCTTCCCCAGTGTTCAGGTCTGCTGTGGATGTCGACTACCCCCTCCCCCCCCCTGGACCACACCTGCCGATGCTATAGCTGTAACGAGTGCTATTAGCATGGAAAGTGAAGAGTCTGTGAACCGGAAGTCGTTGGTATCAGTTTGTAACAATTCCATGTGATAAAACTCTTCTGTTTGAATCAATCTGATGATCTGATGTCGTAATCTGGCATGGCGTTGTGAAGGCAAGCTGACATCTGGAGTGTGGGTTGCACGGTGATTGAAATGTCAACGGGAAAACCTCCTTGGAGCCAGTTTCAGCATCAGGTAGGTCAGGAGGCATTTCGGGCTCTTGCCTGTCCCTAAAGAGGTTTTCATTGATTGGATGGTTGACTGAAACACAAGCTGTCTCTATTCTGCGAACTGTTTAACAGGCTTTTCATATCAAGAAAGCACTGGCAAAGCATCTCAATTTTGTCACATAACAGATTCAGTGAGTTCAGCTTGTAAGGGAAGGCGGAGCTACTTTTCAGTAAATACTAAATAATAAAGCCATGTTTGAGAAAAAAATACTTTCGACTGAAACACAACCTGTCTTTTCTGTGAGCTGTTTAACAAGGTTTTCAACTTTTCATACCAAGAAAGCACCGGCAAAGCATTTCAAACTTCAACAGCCGGAAAGACACCCTCTTGTGGAATAGGCCAATCATGAACAGAAAGGAAAACAAACTAACTAAAATGCATGACACGAGCTCTAATTCTGTAAACTTCTTTCTCTGTCTGTTTTTTCCCCCCCTTCTTCCTACCAGTCTAGAGAATAAGGCAATCAGAGCAATGTATCACCGTACCAAGTCTCCGGGAACCACAGCTTGGAAAACTTCCATCCTAGTGGAATTAACATGGACTTGACACCAGCGGGCCTAGCTCACCCCTCAACTGTTGAAGTACAGACCAAAGTTCAAATCCAGATGCCATCAAATAAATAATTATGAATAACCTGTGGCCAGTCAGTTCAATGATGTGTTGTTGTTGTTGTTGTTTTGTTTTTTTAACTACGCTATATTCTTCTCTTAAATCTTTCATCATCTTTCAAATTCTTTCAATTCACCTTCACTACCTACCTACCACTACTCCTAAGGCTTATACAGGGGATCGCTGCGAACATAGCTTTGCTGTCTCCCTCGAGCCATCAGAGGGGATGCATGTTGCTCCCTGCCCCAACCATGGTGGTCAAGAATGGGGTGGGGCTGCTGGTGGGGGTCCGGCTAATGCAAAGACCGAGCATTTTGCCAGTAGCTGCACCTCCCTTTTCATCGTCCCCCACCCCCAACCGAATAACAGCAGTGTCTAAGGCCTCTCCCACACACCACACACAACCCACTCACACTCACGCTCACACTCATGTTGGCCAAGGACCCTGCGAATACGGATCAGAGGTATCAAGCGGACTATCACCGCTGGTTGGCACTAAGTGCACCACAGGGGGTTATGGGGCTCGAACCCACAACCCCCTTAATGCCACTTGCGTGCCTAACGAACTGAGCTAGGCCGCTGGATGGATAGTTCAATGATGATAATATGTCAAGGTCATCACCCTTTAAAAAAAAAAACAAAAAAAAACACGGGCTTGACAAACACATTTTTGAACCCTTTCCCCGCTAGTACTCATTGGGGCCTTCCCTCCCCAGCCCCCCTCCTCCTCTCCGACTCTTTTCTCTCCCCTGAGGACTCGTTGCAGAGAGATGAGATTCATAAAGAAAGAAAAGCTGGACTTTGTGGAGAACTTATTTCTGTTTATTCCGTCCTCCTGCTGGTGGGTTACTGTGGCCTTTTCCTTCGTAAGACATGGTGCTGGTGCGGGCTGCATCCTGTCCACATAATGCTTAGGTCACCTCCATATGGCTCTATGGAACCACACTTCCGTCTTCTATAGGACCCTGGTAATTTGTTGCTTGGCACAAGGATAAATTGCTGGCACCAACAAACATCTACTTGTTTTAACCACGGTTCAAATCTGAAGGACTATCCCGTTCTGCTAGCAAGTACTCAGAATACATTCCAGTGGATCGGTTTGTTGATCGTAATGTTGGCTCATTTCTTTGTCACGCGTCATCTTGCTGTGGTCTGTTTGATCTTGCTGCCCAACCAGGTTTCTGCCTTGTTTGCAATTGCATCCTCAACGGCACCTCCCCCAATTCCTGAGCATTTGTCGAATGAAGCGAAGGATTTCCTGCTCAGCTGCTTCAAGAGGTGAGAAAGGGAGGGAGTGGGACAAGGGAAGAAGTTGAAGGTGGTTTAATAAGATAACAATAACCGGATGGAAGTAATGGGATAATGTGGCTACTTTGTATCCTGCGTTCTTGCAGCAAATACAGTAGCTTGTCCGGAGCTCTGTTTGACACTTGAATAATTGAGTCTGTCAAGAAACAAATACATGCAGCCAGGCACGATTTAAGCTTTGTAAATGAAGTGACATGTGTTTGGGCTTCCTTTTCAGGATTAGCTGGTGCCTACCCATGACTGGGATAAGAACACCTGCTATGTGAGGCATTCTCCCACAAACTGTGTTGGTTTGCAAGTGTATGGACTATGGATACACAGCTTTGTTCGAGAGGTTGGGCGGCTAGTTTATAAACAGTTTGTGACCGATGCTTCTTCTAATACGCAGATGATTGTTGTGTGAAACAAGTGCACTGATGCTTTTGTTGGGCTGTTTGGCACATAGAATGCAAGGGGCCCTTATATTGAATGTAATAGGACTGTAAATGCATGGCAAAGTGCGTTACAGCAATAGTATTATAGTGGTTATTGTGTGAGCCAAGTGATGGCGAACACATCTGCAGACTTAGTGGAGAGGTGATGATAAAGTTCGTTCTCATTGGTTTGTCATTTTGTAACGTGTCCACAAACGTGGTGTCATGGTTTCGGGGAGTGGAGGGGTCTTTTGTGTGCCATAGGGCGCTAATTATAATGTATTTCTGTGGAAGCATCTCAAGGGGTCTTTAATGGCTTTCGTCCCTGACTCCGTTCATGGGCTCAAGCATAAAGGAGGACAAAGATGCTAGCATGACTTATGGCTCTTTGCGCGCAGCTGTCTATGGTTGCGGATGCAGATGGGTCTTTCTGCTCACATCTGTCCAGAGAATAGAGATCGATGCTTGCTTTGACACAAATTGACAGGCTGTCGTTGTTATCATTAGCTT